TCTCTCTCTCTCTCTCTCTCTCTGACTCTCTCGCTCACTGTCTCTCCCTCTCACTGTTTCTCTAACTGTCCCTCTCTCCCCCTTTCTTCCCCCTCCGTCAGAACGGAAAACAAACACCAATCGGTGCTCACGTCGTTCCTAGCCACGCAACGCCACCCCCAAGGCTACGACGCTATATAGGCGCTAAGTGGCTGTGGAGAGGACCATCGTCACCGCCTATGGCGTTGAGTGGACATGGACTCAAGGGAGCGCGTGGATGCTGCTCCTTGGGAAAAGTCTGATCTGCTCTGCTCACAAGCTGAAGATGAAGGTGCTGGTCTTTAAGTACAATCCCAGTCTGTTAAGGACTTGATTTCATTATCAGAAGAAAAGTATCAACCTGCAAAGGACTCATTTACTAGTTTTAAAGTTATTTGTCAAGATTGTTTTAGAAAGTGTTTCTAGTCGGTTGGGCTGGTCTAGACGAAATTTGTATATGGTGCTTAAAACTATGAATGGAACTCGTTTAAAAAATGACCCCATTTTCTGCTGTTTTTTTTTTTTCCTTCAGTGTCTATGTGTGAAAAGTGTCTCATCTTATTTGTGTAAAGAAATGGTTTCGCCAGTGGAAGTAAACGTGAATGTGTTCTTGTTGCAGGACGGCGGGTGCCCCCGGCAACAAGAGCCCTGCCGGCTCTGCGGCCGGGTCTACGTCCGCGGCGGGAGACCCGAAGGGCGGGGCGGCCGCGGGCGCGCAGGGGGGCCCAGGGGGAGCGCAGAACAAGCAGCTGCAGAATGTCAAAGGAGACCACCCCTCGGTAGGTGTTTTGCCACTTGCTATACTTTTTGCTTACCTAGTGTAAGCAAATATCCGTTTTTAATTTATGGCATGTTTTGTAGTTTTGCTGATTCACAAGCTATGTTTTAAATTGTACGATCAATGTCGTAAATTTACGATGTCCTTTTTTGCTCGTCGAAGAACTTTCATATGTCGCGTCAATTTACAAATTGAAACGTCGCAGTTTGCAACATTTCGCATTGGAAACTTTTACGTAACACCTACAAACCGCATATATTTTCTACAGAAAGCAATCAAATTAATAAAATACGTCAAATATTTTCGACTCTGGTGTTAAAAGATGTGTAAAAATTTACTTCACACTGCTTCGTTTGAGACCCATATTTTGTCTCCATGGTTCACGTAGGATATTCTTTAAAATATTGCTTTTTTGCTTCATCAAATTTGTACGTTGAGAGTGCACATTCGATATGAAAAGGTCGACGCTACGCAAGCACAGAAAAACAAGTATCGGGAAAAAGGAAAAGAATTGTGAACGCTGATGCTCTCTCTCGTATGATATCTTCCATTCTCGTCAGGGATCACGCATCTCTGATGCGCGCCGACAGCCTCCGCTGGCGCTGGGCTTGCCCGGCTGGGGGGGCGGAAGGGGTTGCGGCTGCTGGGGGGTCGGTGGCCCGCTTCGGCCCGGTATTGGGTATCCCTGCTCCCCGTTGTGCTCCGGCCGAGCGTGCCGCGCGCGGAGCCCGGCGGGGATTGCGCCCCGGTAGTTATTTGATAGCCAAACGTCTGTCTAAGCGGCTTTTGGCATTGTGCTCACTTCGGTGCTCCTATCCCGCTTCGCTCGGCTCCAGGTGCACCGACCGGTCGGGTGGGTTCAGGGCGGTACTACCCCGTTGGGTGTTCGAAATAGACGGGGACAAAGGCCAGCCGCAGTAAAAGCCAAAAAATCAAAAATAATTGTTTGCAAGAAATTATTTTTCAACGGTCTGCCCAGGTTTGCTCAGGTTTTCGATATAGAACCTAGTATAATATCCTAGTTAAATTTAACGCCCTAATATTTGAACCATGATACCTGTTGTTTTAAATTTTCGAAAAGTAGAAAAAACAATATTAGTCGAACGTTCCTCAAAACAATGAAGAAAGTGAAGTTTTTCTCCCAGTGCTCCCCGTGCTCCGTCCCGGCCGCGTCCCGTCCCACGGCGGCCGTTAAGCCCCATGTAATTAACACACTCGCTCACTGCTTCACTGCCTCACTACACCATTTTACTACCTTGCAGCAGGGCTCCGAGTGGGATCGGAAACAGCAGCTGGGACGGCTGGGCCTTCCGTTGGAGTGGAGGGTTTTAGCCCGCGCGCGGGAGAAGGGGGGGGGGTGTAGTGTCCGGCTCGACCGCCCTTCTCGTCAATCTCCGCGGGCAGACTCATCTCTAAGTGCGAAACAGATCGATCTCTTTGCGCGCGTGTGCGTGTTTGTGGACGGTTCTCTTTTCGTTGTGTGTGTGTGTGACAGGAGTAGGGGAAGAGTGTAAAGTGCTGTTAACTAGCCGTGTCGCTGGCAGGAGTGGAGAGGAAAGGGGCGCTGGGGAGGGGGAAAGGGGCGTAAGTCTCATTCATCGTGTCGCTAAGGAAAAAGAAGTTGTGTCGAGACAAAAGGAGCGAGAGAGAGAGAAAGGGGGGGGGGTAGAGAAGACGGGTACAGGGGGAGAGAGAGAGAGACATGCGACTTTACGCACCAGGAAAACAGCAGTAGACCCACTTTTGTCTCTCCGTCCACGCCCGACACAGGCGCGTCTCGCCCGGCCTCTCCTCAGCAGGGCCCGGACCCCTCCAAGTTGGGCGAGAGAGGAGCGTGTTGTCAGTTGGGATGCAAAGCCAACCACCGCCTTGGCGGGGGGCCTGGTGACCCCCGCCCCTCTTCTCCCCTTAGTATCCCAGAGGGCCTCGGTGGTACACAGTGCTCAGGTCTTTGCTATGCACTGGAAAAAAACAATTACAAATACACACCACGGTTTGAAACTATAAATTGTAATTATAACTCCCACACTGAACACTTTCATTGATCAAATTTTACTTAAAATTGTAAATTGCTGGAAAGACACTGGAAGTAATAAAGTTTTGCTGTAGACGTTCAACAGCTTTTGTTTTTGATGTGGCTTACAAAATGTGCTATGGTCTAATTTCGACATGTCTTTCCAGATGGCGTTCCTGCAGTCGCGGTCCATCTCCCTGGTGGACATGTACATCGACAACTCGGAGCCGTCAGAAAACGTCGGGCAGATACACTTCAGCCTCGAATACGACTTCCAGAACACGACCCTCATCCTGCGGATACTCACGGTGAGCATCAAAGAGCATCATCCTTTGGTGCAATGTCGCATATACTTTCGTCATTTTCCTTCTCGTCTTTCGCCGTCTCCGCCTCATTTCCCGGCGGTGACGAGCGGCCGGCGGCTGGCCAATTACTGCCAGCCTTATTATGTAGCGTGTCGCCGGCTCCAATAAGGCGGGTCCCTATGAGGCCCAGTCGCCCGGCTCTTTTTCTCATTAAGCACAAGATGTGACGCGCGGGCAGGGCTGAGCCTGGGCGGCGCCCTGGCTATGGCCCCGGCCCTGCACAGCTTGTGTCTATAGGAAGTCATTGTTTTCATCGGGCTTCATTTGGGCGTCCAGTTGCCTGGTGGCTCATGGTGGCGGTGGTTGTATGGTCTCCCTGGCTGCCCTTATTTCTCTCCCCTTTCACACTATTACGTTCTCTGCTTACTTTCGCCCTTCCTACGTTTTCCTTTCCCTTCCGTTCTGGTCCAGTCCCAACTCTGTGAGTCGCTCTTCTCTCTATCCCCGTTTAAAATTGCAAACTCCCCGTCCATCGTGCAGGCAAAACTGAAAAGTTAAACGACAACATTATTTGTTATTTATTTTGTTAATCTATAAATTACCTACAGTTAGAAAGAGGAAGATGGTTTCAAATGTTCCCTTTAAAATGCAGCTCCTAGATTTTTCCCTACTCTAATAGATATTTCTACAGTGTCTCTGCTTTCTCCGGCCTCTGCTTTCCCCTCACCCCCATCCGTGCACCCACCCACACGCACTCACACACACAAAGTGTGTGTGTCCCTCGCTCTCTCTTACTCTCACGCCCTCTGCTCTGGGGTGGGGGGGCAGAAAACAAATTTCCGCCGATGCATGCCCGTTTGCCGGATATGCGAGTCCCCTCCCCACGCAGCAGCGGCAGCAGCAGCGGCAGCAGCAGCGGGGGCTTTACCTCATCAGTCGAATCAGTAGCCTCGCGGAGCGGAGGGGGAGGGGTGGGCATCAATCCGACCAGGCTCATCAGCCTCGGATTCATCCCTACACCACCTCAGGGCTTCGCTTCTCGGCCCCCTGTAGAGCTTTGGATATACTGTTTATAGTATACACTTGTACATCCAAAGATTCCCTTGCACGACTGGTAAAGATCGTTTCGGTCGCGGGTGAGGGGGTATGATAGACGAACGGATTAATCTGTGATGTACCTTACCAAACCCGCACCCAGGAGACCGCTTCTTTAGGGAAAAGAAAATTTCTTCACCATAGAGAAAATTTCGTGCCAGAGCCAGAAACCTTTAGGTTACTTTAGAATTATTTTTTTTTTCCGGTGGCAAAAAAATCTAGAGCCCAAAAAATATGTTTCTTTGCTGCAATGAAAATTTTGTTGGATGTAGGAAAGTCGGGAACCTCGTTCCTAGAAAGATGCTGTTCTTTTGAGGCTGTTCGATCCCTCCTCGGGATATGCCATGGGGAGCGGTCCTCTCATAGGAAAGTCGCCCTCATCAGGCGCCGCGGGGGCGGCCTGAACTCGAGGGGGCGTAACGAGGGGGGCCCGTGGTGCGTGTGCGGCTGTCACATTCCATAAATCAAAGTGAAGATGATTGCGGAGAGGGGGAGTAGTGGGCGGCGGCGGCAGGGAGCGTCGTTGCAACCCCTGCCGCGAGCGGCTGCTGAGGAGCACGTTGCAAATGAGCCGTGAGACTTCCGGGAGGAGCGTTAGGGGCAGGGCAGAGAGAGAGAGAGAGGGGGGGGGGATGAGAGGTGAGGGGGCGTAATGCAGTGACAGTCGAGGAATATGAACCTGTCCGGGCTGTAACAGACGACCGCAGGGCAGGCACGTGCACCCCGGCAGCTGCTATGGCTGCGCGACGAGTCTCTATATCGGTCGTTATCCCCTGTCCATATTTCACGTTCCTTCGTTCCTTTGATAAATGACGAATACTATACCCCTTGTTTTCGTCCTCTTGTTCGTTTTTATCCCCCGACAAAATTTCTTCATTTTTGTGGGAAAATAAGGCGCGGGCGTTTTTGGTGGCAGCCACGACCCAGTTTTTTGTGGGTTTTGGAGGAAGGGAGGAGGCAGGAGGAGGTGTATGCTGCTTGTCGGTGGCACTGGCCCGTGCACCAGGCCAGCGCCAGCCAGCCGAAGCCGAGCCGGCCTCGGCTCCGGGCTTCAGGCGTTGTCTCGCAGCCTGGCGCCCCCTAAGTAAAGGGCCGTCAGCCCCTCACCCCCCCCCTTCTTTTCCCCCTACCCCGCCTGTCGAGCTGGAAAATAGAGGCTGGGGCGCCCGGGCTCCTTTCACTCGACAAAGAAGGCGCGGCTCGGAGGGGGCTGAAGTCAAACACGGGAGCACTTCGCAATGCGACGCACGCCATGAGAATTTGCGCGCTCGTTCGTTGTTGAGCCGTGCAGGTACGTAGTGGTGGTGCTGTGCTGCTGCTGTGGCAAGGGCAAACGCCGCGCCCGCCCTGCCAGAAACCGTTACGTTAATTTACTGTTCCCCTCTGTCGTTGGTTTTGGTTTTGCCTCATCACACTTTACCACGCAGGTAGTAATGTAGGACAGTGCCCTTAAGAGGCTTTACAGTTTGACACGCTTTGATGTATCTCGCATGACCATTCCTTCTCTTTCATAAAAAAAATATAATTC